GTTTTTTAAAAATTAAAAAAAAAAAAAAAAAAAAAAAAACAAACAAACACAAAATGTATTACAAAAGTGTGAGGGGGGACGGGGAGCAATAATTTTGTACGGTACTTCTTGAATTACAGTCGCATATTAATTGAAGAAATTTTCCGCAAACACTATAGTAACTATTTAAACTAGGAATAATAGCTATTTAAATATATTTTTCCTCATAATATACCTTTTTCTGTTTTGGTCTTTATAAAATTATTTTTTAAAAATAGCTCTCAAAAGTTTTAAATTTTCATTTTAGTCATTGTTATTTTATTTCAATCCTAATAATATATATTTGTTTTTCATTTTAGTTCCTATAATATTTTGAGTAAGTCACTTTGAGAAAAACTTAGTAGGTACTAAAAGAAAATTATTCACATTTATGAAAACAAAAATAAAAAATATTACAAGTACTAAAAGAAAATAGCAAGAACTAATAAATAAATTTTACAAGACTTGATTTCAAAAAATATACATGAACCGAAACAGAAAATAATATATTAGAGGGATGAAAACTACCTTTAAGTCCTTTTATATTTGACTGCAAAAATAAAGTTAATTTTTTTCTCTGTTTTTTCTCCGATTAAACAATCAAAATATATATTGTTGATCAACATTTTATGTAAACATGTTTTAAAAAAATATATGGCACTTATGGAAAACTGGGCTAGTCTCCTCCTAGTACCCAAGAAAAAAGTGCAGACAGAATATTATAGGTTTTTTGGTAGGGTAAAAACGACAAAAAAACATAACAAACAAAAATGAGAATTTAGGGTGTAACGTGGCTATGGCCATTAAATTGGCCACAATAAGAGGACCCAAACCAGCTAGTGGTTGCTCAAAAACAAACATTTCATTTCATCCATCATCCACCTCTTCGCAATATATTATAGTTGTGGTTAATTAAATCCAATTTTCTTTTTAATTGGAATTTATTTGGTCAATAACTCAAATTTCTATTCATATTTGAAGGCTTGTATGGTTAAATTATTTTTTTTTATCCCTTCGACATATTTAATTTATTTAATTTTGTCTTTCTATTATTAAAAAGTTAAATTTACACCCTTAATTTTCTAAAATAATGTAATGTGGGACTATCTAATTACGAATAACACTTCTTTTTTGTGTAGCAATACGTATCATTTTTTCGTTGTTTCACGCATGGTGTGTGTCGAAGGAGTTAACGACATTACTTAATTGAAAAGAAAAAAAAAACATTATATTGTTTTAGAAAATTAAGCGATTAAATTGAATCTTTTAATAATAAGGGAATAAAATTACATTTAATCTTAAATTATTTAACACTTTGATTTTATTATTGCTATAAAGTTGTATAATAGTATATTATGCCAACTTTTAATTGACGTGTGCAAGAAAATTTAAATCATTTTTATTCAAATTATAAAATCCAATCTATTTTAAAAAAAAATTAAATCAATTTATTTTATAAAATTGATTTGATTAATTGATACACTTTTTTTTAAAATAATTCAGTTTAATTTATTTTTGAAAAAAATTGATTTATATATAAATAAAAAAATGAATAATTTCACTGAATCAATTTAATTTTAAAAAATATTTAATCAACTATTTCAAAAATCGAATCAATTCACTTTACTGAAAAAAATTCAATTAATTGATTCACTTTATAAAAGAAATAGTTTGATTCTGTTTAAATTTTTCAAAAATTCGATTCATGAAATCTTTACGTTTTTCTTCCTTTTTTTTTTTTACAGCCTTTTAATGTTATATAAAAGAATAAAATTAAACTCAAGAGGAAACACGATAAAATAATAGAAATCAAAATTTAAATTGTAAACCAATTATTTATATATATTAAGAAAAGTTAAATGTGATATATATTTTTAAGAAACAAAACAAAATCATGGTTTTATTTTTATGGGCACGTGATGGTTGATTAATTGGTTCTGTGTCTCGACTAGACAGCAACAAGCATCCATCACGCAACAGACCTTGAATGTACCGTACTCATGCTTGCATGTGCTTCTGTACCTTATTACGTTCACTGTCTCCGAGAAAATCGATTGCTACACCTCCAAATAAGTGAACAACACTTGCTTGATGCTTCACTTAAATTAGGCCTGACCATCGGTCGGCCACGGTCGGTTTCGGACCAAAATTCTTAAAATCATCCGAAACCGATTAAGAAAAATCAGGAGTCATTTTTGACCGACGAAGAACTCGGGTTTTAGCGGGTTCAATCCGTGCGGGTTACGGGTTCATCGGATGGATTCATCGGTTTGAGAAGCTTCCTCTAGCGTCTCGTGCCGCCATCCTTCGTCACTCTTTGCCGGTCTCTGTTACTGCTTCATTTGGGGGAAATCACGGAGTTTCAGATCTCCACATCACCACCTTCATCAACCAGAACAGGGAGCTTCTCAGCAGCGATAGCCATGGCAGGAATAAGTTGAAGAAAAGAGGATGTTTACGGAGTGAAGAAGAAGAAGAAAGAAGACACTGTGAGAAGAAGAAAGAAGCAGAAGAAAGAAGACGGAGTGAAGAAGAAGAGGAAAGAAGACGGAGTGAAGAAGAAGAAGAAAGAAGACGAAGTAAAAGAGACGGAGAAAATAAACGGTGAAGACGAACGGTCGGATTCGGGTGCATCAGATGAGAAAATTCTAACACCGAATCCGACCGTTAAAACCCGTTTGAACCCGAAATTTGCTTCAGAAAAAATCCGAAATACCTGAGAATTAATCCGCTTCACCCGATCTGATCGTCGGTTTGGCCGGTTTTGGATTGGCCGGAAGTTTTTGCCCGGGCCTAACTTAAATCATGGATTAATCCTATTCATTCTTTTCTTGGATGAAGCCAAGTAAACTAGGGTTCGTGTTTTCATCACGTAATCCTATGACTAAATTACAACAACGCTGTCAAACTCACGTGTATTGTTATAGTAAATGTTAGATGGGGTTATTTTTTTTTTTTAAAAAGTAAAGTATTTCTTAGTAAAAAATTAAGCTTTATTTAAGTTTATTTATCTCAATAAATATATTTATTTGTAAAGAGACCGTGTGAAACCACTTAGAAGCAAAGAAGTTGAGTCTCAGAGAAGAAAATAATTTCCTACAAATCAGTACCTATAAGGTTTGCATTGCACATGCATGCAAGACTTTAAAACACTGATTAAGTCATGTTGTGAGAAATGGTAATTAACGTGTTGTGTCATTTTTCTGTTCTTGGTCCAGTACAGCACTTGCTAATTTTTCTGCTTCACTAGTCATCCGTTAATTTGGGTGTTTTAGGTCAATTATTAATTCAAGTTAAATCTACTCATGACTTTGACATATCAGACACTTGATTACATATGAGTGTCAATAGTATTTAATTTCCACCAATATTCTTAAAGTATCAACAATGTAATAAATATTTCCAAGGGACAAGTTTGTGACCAGCTTTTTGTTATGTTTTTCTTTTTGTCAAATTTTTAATAATTCTGCTTCCTGTTTCTATATATAAAATCTAATTATCTAATTTATTAAAAATTAAAAAATAGTTAATTTAGTTAATAATAATATATTTATTTTATTTATACATTTGTCTCTTAATTAACATTTATATCTCTTCTAACTAATTAGGATATATATACTATTTCTCTTTATTAATTAATATTCATCTTTCTTTTGATCAATTAGAATATATTTTTTAAAAATTATAATTAATTAGAGATATTTTAATTTAAAAATAATTAATATATATACATAGATAATAATATTATTTTATTTATTACGCAAAACTTATTTGGCAAAGGTAGAAATGGGAAGCATGATCATACATTTAGAGATTAAGAATGCAAAATTATTTTTAGCAACAGTGTTACCGTACATTACGAATCAAGGTTTTAAATTACCGTCACATTAATGATCATCGTTTCTTCACGATTCTTTATATTGCGAGAAATTGCAGACAAGTGTAATTAACAAAATTGCAACTGTAGTTGCACTGTAAATGTGGAAACTTCAAAAACCTTAACCTAATGACTGAAATTTCGGTCACAAAACTTTTTTATAAAATTAATGTGGTGCTATTCTTTAAAAACAAATATTAATTAAAAATTTAAAAATATTAAACAAAAGTTGATGGAAACCAGCCATCATAAACTACCATGTTAAAGTAATTATGTAACCAATCAATTTTCAGTTTTGAAAAATTAACTTGCATACCACTAGTGTTGTACACTATGCACTGCCTCTGTACCACACTCGTACCAAAATAAATACACATATTCATGTAGTATTTCACTATCACAAATATTTTAGTAGAAATTAATTTTTCATTTTGGTTAATGTGGGGTAATCGTGTACATGCCTTGGTGCAATGTGGAGAATGCGTTTTCTTAACAAAGGGAAAAATGACACTTGACACTACACCTACAAGAGCATATCCTTTGTGAGTTCTTCAAGCAAATCATCACTGATAATACATGCCATCTCTCTTTCCAATATATCAATCTGATCATTTATTAGCCGAGAACAGGAGATAGATCCTATATCTTGCGCCACCAAACTATCAAGTGAATAAGATGTGTTTGATACAGAACATAAGGAAATACGAACAATGTCCCATACTAACTTTAGTAGTTCCTTTCCACATGGTGGAGGCTGCATGGAGGAATTGCATGGTTTCCTTCTGAATCTAGACAATGTCAAAGGTGGTCCAAGAACAATGGAGAGTGCCTCATTTAACAAATCAAGCAAAACCTTGTGCTCTAACTTGTTCTTATGTTGATCCTTTCTGGATCTTTCATTATCCTTGATCAGCTTCTTATGAGATTCTTCCACTTCTTCAAAAACTGAGTTGCCAATAGGCTTTGCATATGTGTCCCCTCTTAATAGAGATTTATCCCATGAACCAAAGTACAAACCAGAGGCAACAAGAAGATCTCTTACATAAGATTCTGCTGGATCATCCAATTGAACTAATTCAGACTCAACAGACTCCTGCTTTGTAATGAAGTCCTCGGAGTAATCAGAATCAAGTTGACTGAGTTGCCTCTTTAGCTCTGCCAAATAAACAATAAAGAGAACTATCAGACCAGGATTAGACATCTAAAAAATCAGTTATAGTGCAAGACATATAATTTAATTGTTTACAAGTTTGTAAGATTCATATGAATAATGATTTACTAAGCAAATGGTCTCCAAGCAAAAGAAGAAAGCATTTGAACTCTATTGTTAATCACTTAATCTCATTCTGTATAATACCAACCTAATGAATATTCAGTATCTAAATAGTGTGTTACCAGATTTCAGAAGCTATATCAAAATTGATCTAAGCCTAGAATGCATGTTGAATGCGGATAAAAGAGAGGGAAGGGGGAGGGGGGGGGGGGG